CCTACACTCCCACACTATTTAAATGTGCCTTGTTACGAAATATACAAGTTTCTCTTTTAATTTCCGAAGAGTTACATAACTCTGCAGCTATCGGGATAAATCTTTCTTGTCATGCTGATGCGGGTAAAATGGTTTTGCTTACGGTTTCAGTTTCATGTACAAATCCGGTACATACTAGATGCACTTCCCTTTGCTTTCAGTCTTGTGACATAAAAATTTCATTAGATTATCTAACTTATCAACGGCTTCTTCTTTAGATGTTAGGAATACGGAATTCAAATTTCTTTCTCAGACTCTCAATATGGCAACAGGCAGACATGCTTCAATCAACGGTTACAAAATTGAAGAATAATTTGCGCTGGAAACTAACATATTTAAAGATCTTAAATAAAGTTTCAATCTTATCATACAATTTAAAAAGATGCATTTGAGGACCTTTACCAATTGCATTATTCATCATCAGTGAAAGAACTAATATACACTTTGATTAACATGTCAGTTTGGCCGAATCTTGCCTTTAAACATTGTATTACATTTTCATAACTATTAGCTGTGGTGGGAAATGATTCAATACTTGTATTACATTTTCATAACTATTAGCCGTGGTGGGAAATGATTCAATACTTGTATTACATTTTCATAACTATTAGCTGTGGTGGGAAATGATTCAATACGTTCTTGTGCCCTTGATCCCTTTAAAGTCACTTGTAATAAATACTGATATTTATCCTCATTTGTGATTTCATTATCATTGTGTATCTTCTCAAATTGTGCACAAAATGGCAGCCATTCTTTGATATCACCACAGAACAACTTAAATTCTATTTTAGGAAGCTTAAACTTCCATTTTAATGAATCTTTATTTATTTGAGAATCATTTTCGATTCTTAACATTTTTTAAAACTTTGTGCACTTTTGTCATTAATTTGACAAATTGCTCTTCATACGAAGCAAAACCTTCATATTCTTTATCAAAATCCACATGTGAACAATTTTCATTTTTTAGAAAGAGATCTTGTAGTTCCCTTTCCTTAAAATTAAACTCGTTCCATTTTTCTTTTAACTGGGCAATTAAAATTTAAATCTCTTCAATATTTTTATCTTCCCCGTCAGCATTGTTCTCTAGTCCATTAACTTTTATACACGTAAATGTGCTTCTAAGAGGTGTTTTTGACTTTTTTAACTGATCCATAACAGTCAAATAGTAATTCTAGTAATAAATATAAAGATTTCGCTGCAAAACAACTTGAATCCCAGCAGGGATGCCAAATTAATATTGTGTCCCAAGGCAATATTCAGATACTTTCTCTGTGGTGAAAATATTCAGATAGGAGGTAAGTAAAACAACACTAATATGAATCATTGGGATATATCAGTTGTTTGTTTCCTTATTATCTAAAGTGTTTGAGGAAATTGTTTATACAACATAAAACATCAAGATCAGCTTTTTCTATTATATTTAATCTGTGCACAAGTTTTACAAAAACGTTATAACAAATATCAAAACTGGACATCTATTTTCTTAAATATTTTTAAAACCAACAAAAAGAACATAGATTACATCATAACTCCTCAAGTGCATCTTGAAAACTTACATAATCTTTTCCTTTCAGTTCACTCCGTTACGTGTGGGCATGCAAAAAACTGAATTCAAAGGTGGAAACATCGCATATCGCAATAGATACTTCTCTGAATATAACTGATCATTGTTGGCTTCTGGTCATTATGAAATCGCAGAAGCTAATATAGTTTACATGAGATGTGTAAAGTCTGTGAAATAAAATTTAAAGCATGAATAACAGAACTGTTTAGAATAGCTGCAAAAGGGACTTGAATAACTTTCAGCAGAAAATAGGAGGATTCTGTTCTTGATTGACAACTGTGTAATACATTGTGATGTGAAAACATATGATAGAGTCTCTTGCCCCAAAATACAACTCTTAAGACACAGGAGTAAAGATCAAGGTGGGATCAGGAACTTATTTTATATAATTTGGAGAGGTATGGAGGAGTAGTGTTCAATGTTCCCCATCTTGATGCAATAATATTATAAAAATTTTTATGATTGGTTACTTATTTGTCCAGTTAAAATTGCTTTTGGCTTACTGGTCTAGATAAGTAAGTGTGTTCAAGTGAAATATTATGAAAATGAAAATTTACTTATTAAAAAGGTTATGGGGGGGGAAGAAGTGTTCTAAATGTATTGTGATAATATTGTTGCGAAAATTCATGTGTTTGAAGATGTGATTGAAATTAAATTTTAGAATACTAATATTGGAGATCTGTTCGATGTTGGTAAGCAGTTGCAGAAATGCAATGCATAAGAAAGCAAACAGCTATCAGTGCAGCTACCAAAATGGCAATGCCTGCTGTTGATAAATTTTATCCACACAAACTGTAGAACTGAGAACTGTTGAAATTGTTTAATTTTTTTTGACAAAAGCACAGATGAAATTTTCTTGCTTTTTTGTATCATATCAGCAAATAACATGTTTTTTCGAGTTAAAAATTAAAATACATTCATATGTTTTGGTTATTCATTTTTAATAATTTGTTTTGGATTTTGAATTACTTATAGATACCAGACATTTCTGTGGTGGCGTTAACCTTTTCACTTAGACACTATAATTTTTTATACCTTGAAACCATTTAGTCAATTAATGAATTAGCAAGGAAGAGAAAATACATCAATAGAATAAGCCATTTTTTGCTCTACCATAAGTAGCACATTTTAAATCTTAGTAGTAAACTAAATTTCTATATGTATGTCTTATCTAATGTAGTGGATGCATGGAACATGTATGTCCTAGACCCTAGGAAACATTTAAAAACTTGAATGTAAATACATGTCTTGCTGTTGCAGTAATGTAATAGTAAAAAAACAAATCACACTATGATCACTTTTATAATCCATTTCCATAAAAAAAATTATTTCTTTTATTCTTAAGTTGATATCAGTATTGATATTGTTGCATTTCAGTGTTACGCTTTGATTGCATGTAATGTTAAGTGCCTGCCTTTGTCTTCCCTAAATTCTGCGGCCCGGTGCGGCCATATGAACTCTGGCACTGGTTCTGGGTTTAATAACAAATCAGTTATTAATTCAAAGAGCACTAAATGTAATCTTTTGGCCTATGAGTATCATTAACAAAATCTACTTTTAGCATATGGAAAGAAATTTTTGTTAACTTTTTCCTGTCAACATTTCTTAGTGCATTTAACTTAAATCTGTAATCGTTGTCAAGCGTAATGTCAACATAAAATAGGTTACTATACTGTTTCTCAATTACTAATATAAAAAAGAATTGTTTAAGCATCGCTCCATGAGTCATTACTCAAGTTGTCATGTGTTGATAACATGTGGTGATGAAAGCAAAATATAATAAATAATGATTCACAAAATTGGAATCAGGGATATAAAATATTAGTAGGTGTGAAATCAATGATGTATCTGTAGAATGTTTCTGTTTGAGATGTATGAAAGGCAGATCCGCAGCGATGGAGCCAAATTATTGATCATACAAATTTATGCTAAAATTATTGTTTTTTCAATAACAAGGTATTTTATATAGTAAAGAAGTGAAATTAAAAATCCATTCCATTTCCATTTACCGCTGTTATACTGGGCCTAGACGGCGTGAGTTTGCAGGCTTTTTGCCAGTTGTCTTCTAATATGGCATCCTGGAAGTAAGAACATCAGCAAAAGATGTCACAGAAACAAGATGGGAAAAATAAAGGGAAATCGGGACTCTCCACGTGTTTTATTGTGTGCAAGGGGGGGGATTAAATGCACATGCGTAAAGCACACAAAAAAATATTAAAAAAATTTCAGATTTTAAATTACATCCAAAAGGCTGTTTTTTTTTTTTTTAACATTTTGTGTGTTACATTTATTTATTACATTTATTCCAGATTATTACATTTATTACATTTATTTCAGCTTTCAGATTTTAAATTACATCCAAAAGAACGTTTTTTTAACATTTTGTGTATTACATTTATTTATTAAATATCACATTCTTTGCATTTAAGCCATAAAATTGAGTTCAACAGCAATATCGCAAAATAGTTTTAAAATAGCATATCTTAGAATTTCCGATACAGAGACTCATGTTTGTTAATAAAAAATTCTTAAGTTACAAAAAGAAATCAATAATAAAAGAAATTCCGAATTTCAAGTTTGGGCTTCTACATGCCCATATTTATAGGAGCAATACATCATTCAAAATTCGATGGCTGTATGTACCATTGTTTTATCACATTGTGAGAAATATGCGTACATTTATGCAGATTTTTCATTATTTAATTTCTTCAAATATATTGCAAGACTAACATTTGGTGGCAACAGTTTGAAAAGTGGAATTGACATTTATAGTGAACCAACGCAAAATCGCAAAACGAAAACAATAATCCTTCAGGGACAAAGCCCCTTTGGACTACTAAAATAAAAAAAAGTTGGTAGTGGCCTTTGAGGTCTGGATTTTAGATCATTCCGGATATTGGACTTTGTACTGTAATGATTATTTTGGAGCTATGTATCTTAGTTTTAATATTAATTATGCTTGTTGTCATGTCATACTTGCATGATGTTAAACAATTTACTCAATTGCATTGTCCTATTGACTAGATATTGTGTGTCTGCCGGCATGTAACGATAATCTTGGTAAAGTATGTAGTATCAGGGCTGAAAATCACTTTTCATTCATATTTATTGATATTGACATAAGCTGTGATCTTTCTGTAGTGTTTTAAAAGTTTAAGAAATTTCTTTATCTTTGCTGCTGATTTTGATTTTATTATATTTTATTATACTTCTGATATTAAAATGAGATTTTACAATGTTCACTGGGGTAATAATTTCTGCATAAAAGATAAAGTATTTATTACATCAAGCTTGATTTTTATTTTAATGTTATTTGAATCATTCACTATGTTTCAGTATATTATTTTTTAATCTTAATGAATTAATGTAACTGTTGTGTTTTAATTCTCTTTTGTAGAATGATGATGGAATAGCTCTGAGAACCCGCTCTAAATTAAGCCTTAATGATACATCATTAGAAGCCATAGAGGCATCTTTTGTTGCCCCTGATATAACAGTAGATATGTATGATACAAATTGCGATAATGAAGAATGGAAAAAATTTCTCCGTGAACTCAGCAAACCTTTTGGTAAGGAGACGTATTTTCCCCTGTTACTTAACTAACACCAATTGTTTTCTCCCCCTGGAGTAGTTTTCTTTTATAATTTACTGTTTTTGATAGAATGTAAGGTGCTGTATTTTTTAATTCCTAATTAAAATTCATTATCATTTTACTATTTCATGCATTAGAATAAATGCAAGATTTCCAAGATGTTTATGACATTCTGTTTTTAATAAAATTTAAGATACTGTTATTTTTTAATTCTTAATTTAAATTCACTACGTTTTCAATCACGATTTCGTGGTGTTCATCATAGACAATTGCATGTATAATTTTGATCAAGACTTCTTGTGTCGTGTTATGTAGCCATTCCTATTATATTTATTAAGTTCTTTTCATGTTTAAAAGTTATGTGTTACACATTAATTAACTATTAATTTTCTTAGCACCAGGGGATAATTTTATGCTTTGTATTAAAAAGGATGATAATTTGGAATTGAAATAAATATTCTATTTTTGTAATTAAAATTGTGAAGTTCATTGTTGGTAGGTGTAAAATTAGTTGTTGAAATTTCATTGTTCTTTATTCTGTAAGCATAGGCATAAAATAACATTTGAGATTTTGCTTTATTTGTATTATTTATTTATGGCTTTTGAATATTTTGTGATCTTATGCAGTTAAATACTGCCGATTTTCATTTGGGTATGTGTAACTTTTAGGAATTCTTAAAATATTAATGATAGTTACAAACCTTTAAAGATTAAATTCTACATGCTTAAATTTATGTTAAAGCCAGCAGAGAGGTTTTGTGGATGACCTAGCCATTTCATCTGTTGGATTCAAAATCATAGAAGATGAGTGTTGACCATTTGTTTTCTAGTGGATAAAGTGTGATGGGGTTATCTGAAAGAATAATTAGTGTAATGCTTTTTAAACATGTAATATTTAATCTTGATTATTTGGTATTTAAAACTTCAACAAGTACTAAAAATGAAGTCTTAAAATATCTGCACTGGCAAGAATGAAATAATGTTTTATCTCAATGTAAATTAATATGTTTATGTAGTTTTTCCTCTTGTGATCTTGAATTTTAACATATATGTTTATATAGTATTTTCCTCATGTGATCTTAAATTTTAGCATGAAACTTTAAGCTTAATATTTTCGTATCTCAGTAAGGGCAACTTAGTTAGAATGTAAAAGCAGTCTTCAGTTAATTATCTGTAAGCATTTGATTAACTCTCTATCAGTATGATAATAAAGCCTTTCATAGTTTATATAATTTTATGTATTATTTTTAGATTCTGAAGTAGTAGTGCAACCACTAGGTGGTGAAGTAGATGATGCAGACGATGATCCAGAGTATAATTTCCTTGAAGAAGAGGAGCCTGATGAAATGGATCTTCAGTACGACAAAAGAAATGTAAAAATCACTAGTAAGGATTTTTTAATTCATTTGTTCAGATTTTCCTATCATCTATTAATTGCATAAGTAAATTACATTAAAAATTCAAGATAAACTAAAATTAGCTAACTAAAAATTGTTACAAAGGCCATTATTTACATCAGTCAGTAGAAAGCAGCCTCTGTGTAGCTGTTTATGTTACTCAATTTGGATTATTCACAAAAATAGAAAACTTATGAAGAGACCATAAATAAGCGTGAAATTAATAATAATTGATGTTGAAAATCTGTATACTTCACTCCCACTTAATTAAATATTAACAAGCCTGATTTCATTGTATAAAAATGTTCATGGATTCAGTAATATTATTGACACAGATGCATGCTTTTATTGTGTGTTCTTTAGTAACTTCTTAATCCTACATCCAGCTTGTCCGTATATATGCATTTGAAAGTATTATTTCTTATACTGGTAAGGTGGTACTGTATGTGCATTCAAAATTTTCGATCTCCATACCAATACATCAGCATGTATGCAGAAATTTTTTTTTTGGCCTAGACTAGCGAGGGCTAATATATGCTTCTCATCTCAGAATACCTTCTCATCTTTTCTCTTAATTTGATACCTTTTTACTGTGTGAGATAAATGAAGACATGGATCTACTATCTGTTATCATGTTTTATTTGAAGATGACAGTTCCAGTGAATCACTTATTTGAAAGCCATGTATTTTTTTAAACTTTGGTAGAATATGCATGTAAATAAGTTTGCACATGTAAGAATTCCATTGCTATCTAGAATTTTAGCAATTACTCTCACATTGACAGTTCCAGTGAGTCACTTATTTGAATACCATATTTTTTTTTTAAACTTTGGTAGAATATGCGTGTAAATAAGTCTGTACATGTAAGAATTCCATTGCTATCTAGAATTTTAGCAATTACTGTCACATTATAGGTGATGTAATTGAGTACCATGGGAATCTTTTGTGTTCTTTGTGGACATATGAATGCTATATTTTTTGGACATAATATAGTATATGTTTTGCAAATGTTTAGATTAAGTATTAAAAGAACTAATGCTATAGAACTATATTCTAACGAAAGTTCTAGATCAAAGTCGAATCACTCATAATCCAAAAGACTAGATGCATGGCCTGGAGGGTTTTCCATAAATTTTAATTAAGCTTAATATTTACATATATACAATGTAGTCTAAATGCTGAATCGAATTTAAGGCTCAAAGGCAAGAACTGAATAGTTCCAGCTAAAATCTCAATCGAATTCTATTGCATAGTGCATCGAAATTCTACCTTCAAGAAGAAGAATATTTTTTCAAGTCACGTGTTCAGAAGGGGAAAGGTCAAGTAAGCCAATAGATGGACTCCTAACGCCATCTCTTGGCGATATCAAAGAATATTCCTTAACGATATTAAGTGAATGTTATAGATAACAACATGCTTTTATTTACCAAAAATGCATAAAATGTTAAACTTATTAATAAATGATTGCAGGAAAAATGTATCACTGCTCTCTTAGAACATATATTTAATGATGAATACTCTTATATATTTTCTGACATAGTTTATGAAACTTCGTGGATCCACTGAGACTATCTTAATACTTTTAAATTTCCATTAAAGTGGCTCATATAAAATTCACTTTAAGGAAAATTTCAACAGAAACACTCGGAAAGAAGAAATTATGCTGCATTTGCAGATTCTGATGCAATACTTTCAAGCTATAATGTTGCTTAGTATACCACATTTCCTGATATTATACATGCATTGTCAAAACTGAAATATGAGCAACCAGTATGACATAACGGACTTAGCAACAAAGTAGCATTGGATGAATTAGTGAATTTATTAAATCAAATTAAGTAACAGTCTGAAACTAACCAATTAATTACATGCGATCGAATAACGTTTTACAGAAAAGTGTAAAAGATGAACAGCTAGTGTTGAAGTAGTAATTTTATAAATCATAAAGAATGGAATTTTGATCATTCAATAAATTTAATTTCATGACAAAATGTAGAAACCAAAATTAATATTAATTTTTGTAATAAATCATACTTTAGATTTCTCGAAATTTTTTTCTGGTTCCTTCAGTTTTGGCATATGAAGATGTGACTGTGCATACTATATTATATGTGAACAATATATTTCACATCATCTGAACATAGTTGTCTCTAGAAGTTCTCAGATTGTTATTTTGAAAAAAAAAAAAAACAAAAAACAAATTATTTGTGTCTTGTGACATTTTGGAAGCAATTCAACTTTATTCAAGAAATTACTTTCCTGAGACTTGAAATGAAGGCAGCTTGAAGAAAACTCTGAAGTGTATATAATGAGACAAAAGTATGGTTTTATGAATTTATGGTGATGACTATAGGATTTTAGGAGACTTCAAGGTATGGCAATTAACTGCTGTAAAAAAAAGCTGTAAAAAATGGAGAAAGTCATGAATATGAGTTTAGAAATGCAAGGGTGTCCATAGTAAATACTAAAATATGGAGTCAGTGTAAAGTGAAATTTATTAAACTAATACACAGAAAGTAAATGTTTAAGCTACTAAAGCAACAAAAATCAGCTTAAGTTGCATAAATTTTCAGGATTAGTTTGGAAGGTTAAATAGGATTTCAGGATTAGTTTGGAAGGTTTCATTGAAGAAGGGCTTGGTCTACAGTCCTTCTTCAGCTGTTGGAGGGAAAATTATGAAGGAGAAGCATGTGCTGACGCAATAGCAACATATAGAAAATTCAGGAAAGTTCTGAGTAAAACAGAGCTACTGGTACAATAGAACAGAGCTACTGATACAATATGAAAACAAAAAGTGAAAAAAAAAATTCCTTAAAGGATGGAGGTAGAGATGGATGAGTATTGGGATTATTAACTAGAACTGAGTAATTTTTATGTATATTAAATGCTTCTAGGAAATCTGATTCCAATGAAAGATGTCTTTTGAATAATTTTTACTGCAGAGAATTTTTTTACCAGCAATTTTGGATAACAGAGGATTGATGTGTTTCTTTTTTCCTAACATATGTTTTGTGCTCCTTAGTGTGAATTTTCAAAGCTGTTTTAGTTTGAACAATATATATTAAGCCATACTGGGAAAGAATTCTATGTATATCTCAGGATTTCATATTTGGCATGCGATCTTTAAGTATGAAACTGCAAATTTTATTGGTGGGAGCAGAAACACCACGAAAGTTAAACTTCTGTAAAATACTTGCATTTCTATAGCTAAGGATTGGAAAGAAAGTAACAACTACTGAATTCATATAATCTCTTAGATTAAGAGGTTGCTTTCTATTATGTGAGAGATGAAAATTTTTTAACTACTTGATAAGTAATACATGGTGAAAAGCTCTGTTAATTGTAACTGCTCTTAAGTAGCTTCTTGATCCACAGCTAATTTAGAGGAACAAATTTGTGTGTATGGAAAATGAAAGAATAAAATGAAACCAACTTCTGTTTAGTCAACTGACAGGATCTCAAGTGTGTTGGGTGGGAAGCAGATGAATGTTTATGTTGTGGAGTAGTACTGTTAGTTAGATTTCATGTGACTAGGATGCCGAGAAAGAGAAAGGAATTGGATGTCTCAAGTTCAAAACTGAACTGAGTAGCAATCAGTGGATGAATTCCATTGATCCTACTATTCAGTTCATTTTTATCAGTGATCAATGGATAAACTCATTGATCATTTTCATATTTTATATAATATGTGAGTAGAAACTTCAAAACCTGACCCCAAAACAATAAAAACAAATAAAAGAGTATATTTTATACTATGTTAAAACAATCTTGAGTCAGACAGCTTTTGATGATTCATAAAAGTTAATATTTGAGAAAAATAATGTTTCTTCACCATCTTAACACTGTAAAATATTAATTTAGACTCCATTGTTATAATACAGAAGTAAATAAATAAAATATAGAGGTCAAATAACTGCAAACTAGATGATTGAGAGAAGGAACTGAGACTATGCTTTCCTAAATATTTAAGTTTTTTTGCCATGGTTAAACTGTATCCTTAGCTGAAAATTAATTTTTGGCAGAATTTTGTATGTATGCAAGTGCTGTTATGCTGCCGTATCTTGATCAGTTAGTAATAGTTATAGTAGTAATAGTGGTGGTTAGTAGTAGCATTAAGGAGAGTCATATTACTGTTGAAAGGAATAAGGTTGAGAATTCCTTCATGTTTATGAACATTTAGTTTTGACCACTGAACACACATAATTTGACTTTTGTTAAATTTTCATCTAATGATTTCGTTGTATGTGTTGTCAGGATTTTGTTCTTGTAAATATGAGTAGTTCTCCCTGAAAAGTTCTCCATGAAGCCATACCCTTCCCCAGGCAGAAAGTCATTATGTGTTTTCTCATAAGCATTTTCCTCGTTTTTCGATATCTTTTATAACTATATATTATTTGATTAAATCATTTTTCATGTATAAAATTATAATTTATAATGCAAATACATAGTATTGACTTGCAGTAAAATTATAACCAAATTTAATTATATGTAACATTTTCCTTAAATTTCACAAAGAATCTCAAGAAATTGGTTGTCAGTGTCTTAGGATATCGATTGTCATTTCTCCTTACATTGTGAACATTGTATGCATATACCAGATGGAAACTGCATTTGGAATAACCTGATCATAATTCTACATTTCTCTTCAGTGCAATGTTTGTATGATCTTATCTTCAAGAAGTTCTTGCCCAAGAATGGGATTTTGTTTCATAAGATGTGCATATTCATAATGCCCAGGCTAATTGAGGTTCTTTGATACTAAGCCTTGATGCTGCTGCAGCTTCTGTTTCTCATGGTTGAAGGGGCTAGCTGCTTCAGGTTTCTGTGGCTCCTCAAATGTAACATAATGCTGGTAAATTTCCCATAGAATGTCTTCCAACAGCTGTCTGTAATGATGACAGTTTTTTTCATAATGAAATAATGTATCCATGCAATCCATTGAATATTGAACTGGGATGTGAATTTTGCTACTGTTGTTCAGTTGTTCTG